AAAAAACACGTTCTATAGATTGAATGTTGTTGAAATTTTTATAAGTTTCGAGGAGTTAGTTTATTTTTTAATAGGAACAACTATTGCAATCCACCCTGTAGAGAGGAGATGTTGCTGAAATATTCCTTAATTTCAAAGAAGAGGTAAACAGAGCGCTAAATTTTCAGGAATTTTTCAGGGTCATTATAACAAACGTCCCATACCTTTTACGCCACATTTTTCACCAGTCCATAGAGTGGACACCAAATAAACCAACAACAAAAAAGAAAAATGATCAAAGGGGCCTTAAACCCCGAGGCAAAAGTGTGCTTTCATGCAAAATTCACTCTTTTGAGTGTTTTCAGTTTTCAAGATTTTCAAGATTTTTCAGGGCTGGCCACAACAGTGAACTCCAAGACCCCAACAAACACCAAACTTGGCACACACAGACCTTGACCAAAAAAAAAAAAGGGCAAAAAAAAAAAAAAAAAAAAAAAATATCGCCAATACATTTTTCACGGTTGGGGGTGTTACCTTGGGGCTGAATAGTGGGGGTCCCTGTTAACCTTTGGTGTAATTTCTGACATCAATCAGAAATAGATTTCAAACATAGTCGAGGTGAGATATGGGGTTTTATTCGCCATATAGTTAAGCATAACTTGGGTACTGGCTTGTGTTATGCTAGAGGCCTTTTTCGTTCATTTTGATTAAAGGTCTGACGAGTTTCAATCTGATCCTACGAGAGTCTTCTGTTATCACCGATAGCAGGTTGGTTGTCGATTTGTCAATCTTCAGCTCAACTCCAACTCATTCTTGCAACTCAACCTAAGGCCTTAGACCTTGTGGGTTGAAATGTTTCCTTGGGGCCTTACCACATCTTTGATTAAATGATCATTTAAAAAGAACTGAGTGTTTTTCTTTTTGAAAGGTTAAACAAAGGCAAGGGTTTATATGAATAAGGGGTGTGTATCAAGAATGAGTGAAGTTGACCCCATGTAGTGTATGGTTTTTCAAATGCCGATTTTTTATATGATTGCATGCAGGGTCACCGGCGTTCGGGACGGGCCGAACGCCCGAACGTGCGGGACCCCTTGAGGATGCGTTCCGTCGTTCAAGACGAATGCAGACAAAAAAAAAACAAAAAAAAAATAAAAAAATCTGAAACAAAGATATGTTATGAAAAACAAAACAATGAACAACATTTGCCTCAGCATTACATCCATATTCCGTACGAAATTTGGAATAAAAATAAAATGTAAAAAATAAAACTAAAAAAAAATAATAATAATAATAAACCAGAGAGTGAGCAAGCATGTTTTCGACACTGCCATCTTTGGCAATTTTTCATTTTTATTTCGCACAGCCAAATACCCTGAAATTTACAGATATATACTTCACATAATACAAAAATCAATAAACAAGTTTCAAAAAATAATAGTTGTTTTTAGGCCCCGAAGTAAAGTAAAAACAAAGAGTAAAAAATGGAAAAAACAAAAACAAAATAGGGAGTGGCCGAACACGTTTTGACACCGCCATATTTGGCAAATTTTACTTTTTCTTTGTTTAGCAAAACGACTTCAAAATATATGAGCATGTATGTCACACCTTATAGATCCCACAAAAAAAAAGTTCAAAAAACAAACTTATTTTTAGGCCCCGAAATAAGTTTTCACAGGGGCCGAACGCCATCGGGTTCGGATCCCGAACGAACCCCGAACGCCTGTGCGTACGGAGGGGTCTGCCCGGCGACCTCCGTGCGTACGGGCAGATGACCCTGATTGCATGTATATTTATGATTTTGGGCTGAAAATTTTACCTTGCCTACAATCATTCGTATATTTTGAAGGAAGTCACATTGTGATTGTGAGAGTGATCGCCTCATGCTTATAACCCTATTATATTTTTATTGTGTTTACTCGAACGAGCTGCCTTGACCGTGCGCAAGGGTCGCACAATTTTGGGGTCAGATAAAAAAAACGATCCCTTTTAAATTTTCTTATTACTTTTTCTTGGTTTAACGCTGAAGTCTGTGGCGGCTGTCAAAGGTAAACCCCTTGACTTATTTCACACCTCCGAAGATGGAGCCCCGTCCCCAGAGTCTAAGGCGTTTAGCCGCCACAAAAGGCCAAAGCCTGACTATCGCTCCTCTCAGGAGTGTACACAAGAGGGCAGGACTCACAATCATTTTCGCGATTGTTTGACGTCATGAGATTAGCCCCTTCATATGTGTGTCAACGACACTTCAGCATCAAAAGCGACTCTCAAAATTATTGAGGATTACGTGGTCAGGGGCACCACATAGTACGCCATTTTCACCACTGTCTGCGTATTCATGCATCGTTAGTCGATATGAAGAGGTTAGCACCTCTGTGCTTTTTATTCAAAGTCTCGTGCGTGGTGCTCATTTATTCCAGTTCCCATTGGCAAAAGAGTTATGGGTCAAAGTTGGATAAAGGACTAAGCACAATTCACATACAACCCTTGGTTTTATTTTGTGAAGTGCATCATGTGGTTAGATTGACCGTCCTTATCAATGGACTCAAAAAACTCGGTAGATCCCCCAAAGCATCGGTTCGCACGCGACTCTGATTAAGCTGTTCGACTGTGCGCACCCTCTGTGCTACAACTAACGAGAAACGCCCTCGACTGGGCCACCTCTGCAATTGCACTCATAAAGTTGCCGCACATGGTTCGGTAGCTCAGCGGGGATCCGCCTACCTGAGGGTGGTAACAGCCCCTTAGGTAGAGGTAAGTCGAGCCTCGTGAGACCTCTATCCTGTCGTAGGAGGTTGCAAGTGGTATGGCTGGCGCACTCGGTCGGAGCTGCAACCGCTCTGCAAAAAGAAAGTCCGAGGTGACGCACAGGATGTTAGACAGGGACAGTGGGAAGCTGCCTGTCCGATCCACGCGAAAGCCATCGTCAGGTGGGGAGTTTTGCTGGGGCGGCACATCTGTCAAAAGATAACGCAGGTGTCATATACCAAAACAAAAAAAAAAAAAACAAAAAAAAAAAAAAAAAAAACTTGAGTTTCTGTTTTTGGCAGCCAATGGAAGGCAGCTTATAATCTCAGCCGCAATATTTTAAAAGAAGAAAACCAAGTTCCTAAAAACAAAATCCACCAAAAATAGGAGCACTGTCAGATCCTGTCTCGATCGGTGGTGACCGTGACCTCCACCCCCGTTATGCATATAGAATGTCGCCTTATACCTTGGCTAGTGGTACTGTGCCCCAGGAGCTAAAAATTTGACATTTTTGAAGCCAGGTCAGTCTGTTTCAATTTCTTTCAAAAATTATAAAATGTTCATTTTAACAATACGACTGTTGCAAGGTGGGTGGGCCTTTTTCATTTTCAGAAACTGCATGCAAATCCTGGGTACGTACTCGAGAGGCAAGGAAAGTCTTTCAAGAGGGAAATCCTACTAGCAATGTGTTGGGGTTGGTGTGACAGGTCACAGGTGAGGGAGGGCATTTCACACCTGTGAAATCAAACAGAAAAGGGAGGGCATTTCACATCTGTGAAATCAAAGAGAAAATGCGGTCATGCTGGCCCTCTATTCCGGGCATCCATGATCCAATGGCTGACGTCTTCGATATGCATTTGATGCTCGGCAAGATGCTGTCTGCAAAGAGAACATACAGAAAAAAATGGTGCTGACGAGTCTGTCATGACATCTGGAAACAGTTTCCACCTTTGAAGGAGGCCTCTGACACAGGGCGTCATCACACGGCACACAAAACAAAAAACGAAACGAGTGCATCTTCTCACAGAGAATGGCCAGGTTCATCAGTTTCCTATAAATAGTAACGACTGTACCTCACCATCTTTCCTGGGCAAATGCACTCGTGTCTTTTTCGTTCCGTGTGCTGTGGCGATGCCCACAGTCATCGCCTCTGTGTGAGGGCGTATTTTATACCATTAGCCAACGAGAAAAGTCCTCTTTATCTCAAATTGAACAAGTGTCAGAATTGAAAAAGAACGCTAAGCCCAAAGCTTAGCAGAATTGACACCGGGCTATGTTTCAAGCAGAACTGACAGGGGCTCTGCCAACTGAGATAGGGCCTATTGATACTCACACAGAGGGGCTCTTTGACGTTTCGAGCATAACTGACAGGGCTATGTTTCGAGCAGAGCTGACAGGGGCTCTTTGATGAGTGGCCCAAATGTGAAGGACCAACACACAATTGACGGACGTTAAAGGTAGCCCCTGTCAGTTCTGCACACTTTTCAGGGTAGTTAAAGGTGCACTACCTATTTGCATCTGTGAAAAGACGCATGTGAAAAGGGGACAAACCTCTCTCTCTCTCTCTCTCTCTCTCTCTCTCTCTTGAAAAGATCAAAAAATGCCAAACTACATTGCTGTTAAGCTGATCAGCAGCGTAGTTTGGCGGACCGCCAACGATGTCTAGGGGATGAGGGAGGCCAACGATGATGGTGGAGACGGGGGAGGGACGAGTATGGCGAAGGGGGATGCCGGAGGCCAACGATAGAGAGAGCAGAAGGGAGAAGGGCACAGCCATGCTTTTTTTGTGGAAATGGCAGCTGGCAGGCAGGCAGGCAGGTGGGCGGAGAGTTTTTTTTCCCTTCCCCAATGCACAACTTTCCCAACGTTCTAGAAACAGTTTCGACGTTGTTGAATGCTTTTTTTTTTCATTTTTCAACGGCTCGCAGGGAGCGATCCGATTGGTCCACTACTCAGTGGATGGGAGAAATGAGAATTAATCTTCAGCTGGAACACGGAAAGATACACTGCCATGTTTTCTGTGTSTKTKRSASAGAGACAGAGACACAGAGAGAGAGAGAGAGAGAGAGAGAGAGAGAGAGAGAGAGAGAGAGAGAGAGAGAGAGAGAGAGAGARCSCGCSASTGTGCCATCTGCGGGSGRAGCSGSGGTGGGTCCACTTGTTTTCTTAGTAACAGAACTGCTTACTGAACTTCACCTGATGCCTCTCAATTTCTCAAATAAGAATTCGACAAATTCCATCAAACACACCTGCAGTGGCCATGCACACCCACACCCCACAGGAGAGGCAAATATTCATTTGGAAACCTTCAGAAAAACTCAAGGACACAATAAATCAGCAAAGAACTCTACAGAATCCAGACCGTCTCAAGGTTACACCCCATATACAACAAGAATCACATCAAATGTTCACCACAAGATCAGGAGTTCAATTCCCTCCGACTCTCCAGGCTGAAGCTGCGAAGTCAATTTTGGAGATCAGTGAGCAAAATGACAACAGCCTATGTCATCGCCAGGAAATCCATTCATTGCACACATGCTCTCTCTCTCTCTCTCTCTCTCTCTCTCTCTCTCTTTGAAATCAGTGAGCAAAACTACAACAGCCTATGTCCTCGCCAGGAAACCTATCCATTGCAGACATGCTCTCTCTCTCTCTCTCTCTCTCTCTCTCTCTCTCTCTCTCTCTCTCTCTCTCTCTCTGTGTGCACATGCACATGACTCACTTCTTCTGCTGCTGTTGGTAGGTCACAGTTCCGAGCATGAGGGCAACTGTCGCCCCCTGCAAAACAACTCTTGCTCTCATCAAATTTTGACTTCGAGCTGCATTTCCCTTATGGAACGAATAGAGTCCAGCGATCAACACACCAGCTGTCGCCATGGCACCTGAAACGAGAAAAGATTCCATGCCCAGAAATACTATATTAGCAACCATCCCTTTCTTCCATCTGCAACGACGAGACCATCCAGACACAAATTATCAGCAACCATATTAATCATCCTCTTCCTCCATACATATTGATCATCGTCGAAGAGTGTTTTCTTTTTCAATCACCGAGAAAGTCCATCTTCCTGCACAAGTTGCATGTGGGACTCGGGACGTACTCACACTTGCACTTTCCAAAATGCATCTGACCGCAATTTCGGTCAGACCAGGATGAATCTGACTGCAGTCGCGTCCAGAGCTCTGTAGAAAATGTCCTAATGTGAATTTGCCCTCAGAATATCCAGTAGCAATTCAACAACAACAACAGTGAAACGGTCTCAATTCTTGTTTTTTATTGTTCTGAATTCAAAAGTTTCTAAACAACGTACTACGATGCATACCTTAGCGAGAAGACCAAGACCGTTGGAAAGATTAAAAAAAAAAAAAGGCAGCTGACCAACACCGTTGGAAAGATTACAAAAAAAAAAACAAAAAAAAACGGAAGCAAAGCTTCAAGATTTAAGATGACTTGTGCGAGATACACTCAGCAGGTGTCCACTCTCCAATGCACAACCTCCTCCTCCACCTCCTCCTCCTCCTCCTAAATCCGAGGCATAGATATCATGAATACATTGAAACCGGCACACACTCCACAAGGACAGAGGCTTTGCGCCATGACGTAATCGATATCCCAAGGATATCCTCAAAATCGATATCAGAAGGAAGGGGACAAAAAAAGGGGGGGGGGGAAGGGGGGAGGGGGAAAAAGGGGGGGAAGAAAGACGATAGTTGCTTCCCTGTCAACACAAACTCTTTATTCAAGACCCGGCCGCGACCACATTACGTAATGGACACTCACCAGCATCAATTTCACAGCCACAGGGAGTGATAGTCACACAGGGAGTGATAGTCACACAGGGAGTGATAGTCACAACAATCTGAAGCAACTCGCGACAACTCACCACCACATTCAGTTTTCTGAACGATTGATGATCTTCTGAGAACCGGATCCGGTGGATCGGCATCATCAGGTCTTCAGAAGAATCCATCAGCCACTCCATCCATGACGTTATCTTTCGTATTCCGGGGGCATTAAACCCCACCAGTGGCCATCACTACCTTTCACAGTGGAAGGTAAGTCGGAAATACACCCTATATAGTACACGCCTAAACCAGCATACCAGCATTCTTCGGAGGCCGGCGGAGGCCTCTGGCGCCACCGGACCAAAATGGCTAAGGGCACCAGCCAAAACGACGCAAAAACGGTCGCACTGGTGCTTCGGCAAAGCTTGGCGGGCATCTCTGCTCAGCCTCGGCAAAAAGAGGGTCGGAGGTAGTGGTGGTTCAACAATTCTCATTTCTCAAAATAAAACAAACTCCCCCGCATTACTTCCCAACCTACATGACCCCACATGCTCCACCGCTAATCTGTATCAATACCCCCCACCCCACCCCCTTCCTGTTGTGGTAGGAGCAACAGAAACACACGGACTGAGCTAGATAACACCAGTAGGTTCACACTTGGCACACATTGCATCAGATGATCTACAAAATAGTCAACAAAGCATCCATGCACACAGAGAGAGAGAGAGAGAGAGAGAGAGAGAGAGAGATCAAAAGAACAGAATGGCAAGCAAACCAATATTGCTCACAGAGGAACAAAATGTCCCATGATCCTCTTTTGGTCTTAGCAGATTTTCACCCTGCGCACCGAGGGAAAAAAAAAAAAAAAAAAAAAAAACGAAAGTGCACAGCTACAGACACGTTTTTTTTTTTTTTTTTTGCCTGAGCCGCCAGCCACTTTGGTCTGGTAGCACTGTTCATCCGAAAAGTGCCGAAACGGACGGAATTTCCACATTTTCGATTCTGAGATTTGCCTGGGCACAGTACCAGTCGTTCAAACTTCACACAGGGGGTTGATGGAAATGAAACGAAGTGATACACATTATACATGCACACAGACCTCGTTGCTTCGTAGTTCACTTCCGCAGAGTCCTTTTGCTACTGGCAACGAGGGCGGAAGACTCACATTGTCGCCGCAAAGTCAAATTGTCATACCTACCGTCTTCTCACCCAAACATAAAATGCGGTCCTCACCACTGTATCTGGACTCTCTTAAGTTGATTCAAATACCACTTTAATTACCGTCAAGTTCTATTCCGGGGGGGGGGGGGGGGGGGGGGCAGTAGTTCCGCACTTGCGACCTCACATGGACAACCGGATGGACTACGTTCGTAACACATCCAGCAGAGAGCACAAACAGACACACAATAGATAATCGTACGCGTTCTGCACGTAACTGTCTGACCAACTACCACTCAGGGTCTTGCTCCACTACACAACACTGTACATGCATTTGGACACTTTAGGGACCAGGGGCATTTGGACGATGCCAACGTTGTGAATGTATCCGGTCCAGAAAGCGTCCAAATGCATGTAAAAGTTGTGTAGAGGCCCTCAATCACACCTCACATGGCAGAGTAAAGCGATAAAAAATGCATATAGCCACAACAGCCCAAACACGTCCTTCGGGACATCTGTTAATATTGGAACGACACAGAGAAGACTACCGTCGTCCCCTGAACATAACGCACCCTGATAATGAATGTACACAAGCTATATTTCCGGTCAGGTACAGCCAAAATTAGGGTGCGTTGTTTTGGGTAGCATGGGAAAAAAAAAAAAAAAAAAAAAAAAAAAAGAATGAAAAGACACCTCAAACGGTGACTGCCTTTTCACAGTTGTTGTAGACGATAACCAAAAAATTCTGCTCCAAAAACATTATGTATTTCAGTTTTCAAGGCATATGTGGAAGGATCATGCTTCATCAATAACTCCCTGAAGGGTTGCTCAAGGAACCTTAATTGAGGGTATATTTCTAGGGGGTCAAAAAACAAATTAATCAACAGGGGGAGAGGGGGGGGGGGGGGGGTAAGGATTATATAGTTGAGTGCATATTTAGAAGGACCATGATTCATCGATAACTCCCTGAAGGGTTGCTCGAGGAACCGTAATTGAGGGTATATTATTCGTAGGGGTTAAAAAAAACAAAAAATCAACAAGGGGGGCGGCGGGGGTGGGGGGTAAGGATGATATATTAAGGGGGAACTCACCGATCGGGACTAGCGGATTCCGAATCTCCTTCTTTGGCCCAAACAAATCTTCTGCCATGTCGTTACCAATGGCAGCAGCAGCAGCACTAGCAGCCATCACTGTCCTTGCACGTCCAGTCGAACTTAACCTTGACAAAGACGAGACACAGCCCGCATTTTTGACATTCGATTTACCATCTCCAAGATCACTGGTGGTGAAATACAGAGACAAATGCAACACCCTTGAAAATTTCCCAGCCCAATCACCCTCCCAGAAATTCACTGCTATTCCCTCGCTTGCTTTCCGCACTCTCCGTTCCCTCCCTTCGTCCCCCTCTTTGCCCATCTCTCTGCCACCTTCTTCCCTTTCCCACACACTCATTTCTTGCAAAATCCATTTCCCGCAAAAATTGATCAGTGACCCTTCTCAAGATGTTCAGTTTACCATCCCCCAGATTACCTGCAGAAAAAAATGCAATAAATTTTCTAAGCCGGTCTCACTTCCAGACATTCAACTCTCTCTCTCTCTCTCTCTCTCTCTCTCTCTCTCTCTCTCTCTCTCTCTCTCTCTCTCTCTCTCTCTCTCTCTCTCTCTCTGACACACACACA